AATCTCACAGGCTTAATGACTATAGTCTTATAGTAAAATCCTGAATGCAATTGTTTGAGTTCTACAGTTTTGTCTTCTTCATAAAAAATTATTTTGGCTATACTAAATTTTTCCCTCTCTATGTAATTTTTAGAATTGGCTTGCCAATTTACAAGAAATATCCTGCTGGTGTTTAGGTTAAGAAGAGTCTAAAAACGTTTTATAACTTTGTACCATTTGCTCTACTATACACATGGTATATTTACAGACATACAAATATACATGTAGCAATAACATCTGCCAAACCACATTCCTATTTACCTACTCCTGTTTACGTGTTCATCTAACTTGTCTACCTAAGTAGAATGGAGTATAAAAATGCCAGATGGCATTTAGTCTTCGTTGAATTTTAAATACTTTTATTAGGGGCTCTTACATCTCTTATCACAATCCATGCATTCATCCAGTGTGTCAAGAACATTTGCACATATGCTGCCATCATCATTTTCAAAGCATTCTCTTCTCACTTGAGCCCCTGATATCCGCTCCCCATATTTCTTCTCCCTCCCTTCCCCAGTCTAATCTTAATAAATATGTATTTTACACTGTCTGCCTTTTCCCTCAGCAATTTAAAATTGTATGCATGAATATTTTGTGAATATTTCATTTTTTACTCCCTATGCCATTTTAATGGTATTTTTATGCCATTATAAATGGTAGTTATTGTGTACTGTCTATTCAAAATCAGTGTATAAATTAATTTCATTGCTAATGTTTAGATATGCTGATTTATGCGTTTATCCATTCTTTAGTTGGATGAGGGGAGGAGTCTACCGCCACTCTGCAGGAGAAACACAAGGCTTCCTATTCCCGTAAAGACTTAAGGTTTCAGAACCTTACAGGGGCCGTCGTACCTTGTCCTAAAGGGTCACTATGAGTAAGAATTGATTCAATGGCAGTGAGTTCTATTAGTATGTTTATAGACTTTTGTTGTTTACTGTAGAGATAGTTATGGCATCCATAAAGAGTTGATCTCTTCTCCAGTCTTTATTTACTTTTTACTGGCTAATTGTTCTGTTTATGACCTGTAGAACCCATGTTAAATAGAAATGGTAAAAGTAAACATCTTGTCTTACCAGTGGTTCTCAACCTGTGGGTTGCGACCCCTTTGGGGGTCAACTGAACTGACCCTTTCACAGGGGTCGCCCGATTCACAACAGTAGCAAAATTACAGTTATGAAGTAGCAGCGAAAATAATTTTATGATTGGGAGAGTCACCACAACATGAGGAGCTGTATGAAAGGGTCAAGGCATAAAGAAGGTTGAGAACCACTGTGACTCATTCCCAGTCTTCAGGGGAAAACATGTAGTCTTTCACTACTAAATATTAATAACCTTGAGTAAATCCTTTCTATTTCTAGTTGGTTGAGAAGTTCCTTTTTTAACTGTGAATGGGTATTGAGTTTCATCAAATGTTTTTTCATCTGATGTGATCACATTGTTTCTCCTTTTTAAAACTTACTGATAATGAGCAGTACTGATTTTTCAATGTTAGGGCAACCTTACATGTTTTATCTCATCTTTGTAATGATGGGATATACACATAAAACACTGTATAAAAGGAGTTTTGAATGCTAAAATTTTTTTTGCCAATTTATTTATTTATTTTTAATTGTTTTATTAGGGGCTCATACTACTCATCACAATCCGCACATACATCAATTGTGTAAAGCACATTTGTATATTCATTGCCCTCATCATTCTCAAAACATTTGCTCTCCACTTAAGCCCCTGGCATCAGCTCCTCTTTTACCCCTCCCTCCCCACTCCCTCCTCCCTCATGAGCCCTTGATAACTTATAAATTATTATTTTGTCATATCTTGCCCTGTCTGACGTCTCCCTTCACCCACTTTTCTGTTGTCCGTCCCCCAGGGAGGAGGTCACGTATAGTTCCTTGTAATAGGTTCCCTCTTTCCAACCCACTCTCTCTCTACCCTCCCAGTATCACCACTCTCACCACTGGTCCTGAGGGGATCATCTGCCTGGATTCCCTGTGTTTCCTGTTCCTATCTTTACCAGTGTACATCCTCTGGTCTAGCCAGACTTGGAAGGTAGAATTGAATGCTAAAATTAAAGTAGCGCTGGGTCCAGTTTTAAATACAGCTGTTGTCCATATTCATGCACTTGTTACATAGATATACTTTGCTCTGGAGTAAATGACAGCGGAATGTCAAGATGGTATTGTAGATGTATGCTTAACATTTACGTAAATAATTTTAATAAACAAATTGACTTCAATTTCCACCAGCAACACACAGTTGTTTCTCTGCATGCTTGCCAATGCTTGATAAGGTCCATCTTTTAGTCATTGTAGGGTATACTAACCCAAAGGTTGGTCCTCTGAACCTACCAGATGTACCTTGACTAGTATATGCTTCCCAAAACTCACAGCCTTGAAACTCCTGTGGAGTAATTCTACTGTGCATATGTGGGGCCACCATAAGTCAGAAATGGACTCAATGGCCAATAACAAGAGCAATAATAGGTAGTATCTCATTGTGGGTTTAATTTGATTTCCTTAATGGTTAATGAAGTAGAACTTTTCTTGATGTGCTTTTTTGACACCATCTAGGTAGGTGAAATGTTTAATATGCTTTGCTTATTTTTTTTATTGAGTTGTTTCAAGGCTCTTTTGTGAGTTATTTCTTTTGGATACAAGAACTTCATCAGACACATGCTTCTCACCTAAAATTTTTCTGTATTTCATTCTGCTGGCAGTGTCTTTCTTTTTTCTTTTTTTTTTTATTTTCAATCTTTTTATTTTTGGGTGTGTGTGTCTTTTTTTTATCAATTTATTGGGGCTCATACAATTCATCACAATACAGAGATCAATTGTGTAAAGCACATCTATACATTTGTTGCCCTCATTATTCCAAAAATTCGCTTTCCTCTTGGGTTCCCGGAATCAGCTCATTTTCCTTTCCCCCCCTCCCCCTCCCCTGCTCCTCCCCTCTCCCCCATGCACCCTTGATACTTTATAAAGTATTATTGTATCTTATGTTACACTGCCCGGCGTCTCCCTTCACCCATCCCTCAGCTGCCCGTCCCCCAGAGAGGAGGTTATATGTAGCTCCCTGTGATCAATTCCCCCTTTCTACATCCCCCTTCCCTCCTGGTTTCACCACTGTCACCCCTGGTCCTGAGAGGTTCATCTGTCCTAGATTCCCTGTGTTTCCAATTCCCATCTGTAGCGCTGTGCATCATCTGGTCTAACCAGGTCTGCAAGGCAGAACTGGGGTCCTGGTAGTTGGGGGGAGGAAGCGTTTAAGAACTAGAGGAAGGTTGTGGGTTTCATTATTGCTATACTGTACCCTAAGTGACTCATCTCCCCACTACCCCTCTGCAAGGTATGTCCAGTTGTCTAGAGGGCAGTGTCTTTCAATAAGCAGAAGTTTTCATTTTGATGAGGTCCAATTTATCAATTTTATTTTTTGTGGATTGTTCTCTTTTGATATATGTAAAAAATGTTTTATAAGTAAATCAAAACGTACTGGTACAAAATCAGAGGAATCTTAATTAAATGGAAATATAAAAATATGCAACCATTGTTGCTCCACATAGCTCTGCACACTTCTGAAGGAGGTGTTTCCATCTCTGCCACCCTCTTTGAGTTACACCACATCAGAACAGCCGCTTTGGAAACCTTGAGTGCCTCAAATTGTGCTTTTTGAGTTTGAGAACAAAAAAGAAGACTGAATGGGGCAAGATCAGGGCTATAAGGTGAAGTGTGGGTGAGGCTTCCAAACAAAATTCTCATAGCACAGCCTTTGTTACTGTCGAAGAAAGATCAAGGGCAATGGGAAACGTTCCTCTATGTAACTTTCCTGGTCTTCGACTGACCAGTGCAGTTTCCATTTTTTCTAAAAACTTTTTTCATAATAAGATTCCTGTGTCCTCTAAGAAAATCTATCAAGATTACCCCTTTGGGTAAGCAGAATTAGAGTCCCAAAACACAATCATCAGAACCTCTAAGCTGACCTCTGTGCCTTGATGTGAACTGGCTCAGCAGATCCCCTTCGAAGCCACTATTTTGATTGTATCTTTTTTGAAGGCATGCTAATGAGACTGGTGTGTGACTGAGAGAACTTGTCTGCAGCCACTACTGATCACACAGATATGTCTAAACATGTTTTCTTTAGTACAACTGGAGCCCTAGTAACAATACTTTTGACTTACATTGTATATATTATATATGTTTCTGTATATGTTACACTTGAGTGAGAAGTTTATAATCATTCAATCCTTAATTATAATTTTTCTAAGAAGACCAAATAAAGTTTTTTAATGATTAATTTTAATATATTTCAAAGATACATTGCCAGAAACAATAGATGTACTGTGCTTAAACACAAAAAGCAATATGGAAACCTCACATTACAGAGTGGAATGGCTCCAGTTTTCTCCTGACTGTACCCTTTATGGAAGCAGTTTGCCAGATCTCTTTCACAGTGCCACTGGGTGGATTCAAACTACCAACCGTCAGGTGAGCAACTGATTGCAAATCACTTATCTTTCCCAGGGACCTGTACTTTATTAGCTATATTTAAGATCATAAGCAACCAATTCTTAAGGACATGAATAGACTTTTCTCTTTGTGCCCTAATTATCTCCTCAAAGTAGAGGTGTGGCTAAAGTGATCAGGTGCTAACTGAGAGGTAGATGATTCAATTTCACCAGCTGTTCTGTGAGAGAAACATGTGGATGTCTAATGTCATAATGATTTACAGCCTTGGAAGCCCTCTAGGGCAGGTCTACACTGTCCTGTAGAGGGTTGCTATGAATCCAAATTGACTTGACAGCAGTGGATAAAGCATTCTATGCAGTAGCATTTCAAACAACATCAGTATTTGGGGATTATAAGTCATTACGTAAAAGCAGTCACTTTCATATTTTTAACACTCCAATCAAATTTTCCACACCATCATTAAAAAAAAACTCAATATAGTCAAAAGAGTATTACTTGCAGGGGTGTCTTGGTAGAGGACACAGTCATTTTGTCTACTTTCACTTCAGGTACCACAGTCATAGTCCTCGACATAGCCATTCTGCTTTGGTATGCACCAGCATATCCTTTTGATTGAATTCCTTTGACAGAACTGGTGAAGCTGATAGATTTCCTTACTTGTGGGTCAATGCTCCTCCTGCAGTAGGAAAAGAAAACATAGTATATAGGATCTAGGATTAAAAAGAAAAATCAGCAAAAAAAAAACCCAACTTCATTTAGAAACATGCAAACATTCTAAACATATACTCAAGAAATAATAGCTATTTTAAAGCCCATCAGATATAAGCATATTCTATTGCACTTGCATTATTTGTATCATTCTTTCCCTTACACAACTCTAAGAAGTTGCCATTACTACTGCTGTATACTGAAGTAAGTCACAGAGGCTTAAAGGGAAGTACTCCTACTAGAGTTGAGATATGAATCCAGGTAGTCAGGCCCAAAGTCTACATTGAGTTCTGAGTCTTTGTTTCCTTATTGTAACTCCCACCAAACGACCTTTCTCTGCATGGGTTCTCTAAGTAGGTGGGGAAACAATACTGAAAGGCTTCACCTGTGAGTAGTTGTGAACACAAGTCCCTGTATTGCCATCTGCTGTGTAAAAAATGATCCCTCTGAGAAGCAGGAGGGATCTTATCACCAACAAGAGCCAAGAATAGAGTGTGTCCTATGGACCCAAGATTCCTGTGCAGTGAACCTCCTGGATCCAGTTAAAAGCTGTATCACCAGAGGAGTAGCAGCAGAACCAAGAGTGAGGGCATGAAACAGAAATGGACTTCCCAGCCCACAGAGCAAATAAAGCTGAGTGCTCTTGTGCAGGAGTCCGGATTATGGAATGGGGTGCCTTTGGGCACTTAAATGGAGAAGTTAGGCTTATTGAATGAAAGAAGCAGAGCTGACTGGCTTTGGGCTGAGACTTTCTGGAGTGGGGTGCCTCTGAGCACTTAATTCAGGGAGGTGCATTTGCTGACCAACGGAGCGAAAGCTGAATGCCTTTGGGTTGAGGCCTACAGCAAAGGGGTTTGTCCTTTTGAATATTTATTAGCAGACTTGACAAGACATTGTTAACATCACCGGATAAACAACTCAACCCTGAGCATTTCTCACTGGCATTACAACATAACTTCCTTAATATACCCTTTAATCATACATTTTGTCTGTGAATTATGCATAACTATTACAATGAGTATTAGAAGAGTATACCAGAGAGGTAAAACAGACAACACTATGTAAGATAGTACAATTGACTTATATGCGTGTGACGAAAATTGAATAATGAATACTGAAGAATGTATAAATTGAATTATGGTACCAAATAACACTGCCCTATCCCTCCCATTTTTTTTACCTGCTGCTCCTTTCACTCCTTCTCCCCTAACACTTCTTCCTCCCCCATTTTCTGATAGCTCCCTAAATACCTAATCTAACACCCCCCCCAGATACTTAATACAAACTGTCCATCATCCCCTACTGCCCCACCTAACAGAGTTAACCACTCCCACATAACACTACCTCTGTAACACCTCTAATATAGACTCCAAGATGCCAAAGAGATAACAGAAGATATCAGTGCATGCTTATACACACGCACACACAACCATGACAAACAAACAAATAACCAGATGCCAACCAGCCCTAAATGTAATACCAGAAATTGAACAGGCTATGGATTTACCAGAAAAAGAATTTAAAAGAATGATATCGCTCGTGCAACAGTTGAAGGAAGAGTCTGAGAGAAAAGGTGAAACAGAAAAAGTTAGTAATCCCACTAGAGAAACTCCAAACAGAAACACAAAAAACAAGAACAACAATAGCAGAATTAAACTATAAAGGAAAAGCACAATGCTATAAAAGAAGAGAAACAAAATTGAAGAGAAGGAAACCCAAATTAGTGAGCAAATCTACAGATTCCAACCTAAAGAAGAACAAATAACAAAAATGCAAAAGAGACCAAGAAAAACTTGAGAACAAGGTGGGACACAATTAAGAGGAACAATTTGTGTCTTATAGGGATTCCAGAAGAGGTAAAAGCAAAAAAAAAAAATCCACAAAGTGAATAGTCCAAGAACTCCTATAAGAGAACTTTCCTCAATGTCTAAAGGAATGAAATATAATTATTCAGGAAGTTGAAAGAACCCCAGCCAGGAAAGACCCCCAAAGGAAAATTCTCCAGCATATTGTAGTCAAGATGTCTAAAACCAACGACAAGGAAAAAATTCTAAGAGCAGCCATAGAAAAAGATCATTGACATACAAAGGGTCAGCAATTAGAATAACCTCAGACTTCTCAGCAAAAACCATACAGACAATAAGACAATGGAGTGGCATATACAGAGTACTGGTGGGGGAAAAAATTATCAACTTAGAATCCTGTATCCAGCAAAATTATCAAATATGATGGAGAAATAAAAGTATTACAAGACAAGGCGAAACTAAAAGAATTCACAAAAATAAGACCACCACTACAAAAATAGGCAATGAAGTACCATGACCAAAAAACTAACAGCAATAACACACAAACCTGAAATTAACAAAAATACAATTCAACACAAAAGTCAAAACACACACAGCTACACCCAAAGCAGGAAACAACATAGGAAGAACAAAGAAACTAGCACATTACACATCCAAACACACAACAAACACATACATAAAGCAAAAATGGTAGCAAATATGCTATTTCACTGAATGTTCATGGACTAAATGCACCAATAAAGAGATAGGGACTATCAAAATGGATAATAAAACAAAATCCATCAATATGCTGCCTACAAGGTTCTACCCAACCTTCGGTGAACCACACATGGACTAAGCATCATGATCGTGGCATAATGCAGAGACTACACCAGAAGGACTTAACATAGAGGCCCGGCAGAATGAACTGAGCCCTGCCTCAAGTTACCTTCACTCTTCGACTGAGGACTGGGGGACTCGGCAAGGAGAGGAATCAGAAAGTGGCCGACTCAGGACTGTGGAAGTGGCAGTCATTGGACCTTGGGGAGAACCTCTGGCTTGGTGGGTGTCCAACGGAAAGGGACCCAGAATCATCATATAGGATTTAGTACTTCAATGTCTGACTCACAGTGATATGACAGGTTTTGTTATGTTGGGCAGCAATCTGCACTAGGAAGTATTGATCCAGTAAGGTCCCCCCCGACACCAATCCCCATACTTAGTGTTAACAGAGGTCAATTGAATGGGAGATCAAACTGTATAGGGCAACAACGCATGCTATTCAAGGTGGAAATATACTCACATAGACTCCTCCTACCAACAGTGTCTGAAGTGCTGTGTCACTGGGAAAATTGATGATGTTTTAAGTGCAATCGCCTTATGCTTTAGGGGGGTGATTGACAAAATTGTACTTTTTTGTTTCTATGGGTTTTTATTTTCCTGCCTTTAGCTTTTCTTCTTTTTGTTTTGTTTGTTTGCTGGTTGGTTTATTGCTGTTACTGGTGTAAGTTGGTTATGCTGTTTTGATTTTGTCATATTATGGCTGCCTAAGTAGACCTGGGTGGTGCATATCCCAGGAACAAGCAGTTGGATTTGGGGCTTCTAGCACCAATCCAAGAACAGTTAGTTCTGATAACATGGCCCTCATCTATACCTACCCCTTCATGAAACAATCACTGAAGGTAATGGTACTATAGCAAAGTGTGGTGAAGAAAGCAGATGGCGCCCTGTCAGAGTAAACCAGCCTCTAACAACCAAGGGGTCCGTAGGTGCAATTGTATGGTTATAATATATAAAGATCATAATAAAGTCATATAAGATAGGAGAGAGAGTAAAATTAAGGAGTTAGACACATTTCATGGTAGCATGCTCACCTCCTGGACGGCTATGATCTCAGCAGCCAGGTCCACACACACACAGAGAATATATTTCCAATCATGGCATATATATATACTTTCAGGAACATGCAAGCCCCCCCCCCCATTACATCATAATTGGAAGGGGTTGTACAATCAGCATACATCACTTGGAGGGGGACAAGCTAGGAGTGTACACCCAATCAGAAGGGGCAGCACTAAGGATACACATGTGACAAGGTGGGCAGACCCAAGATTCAAGATAGTAGCCTAACCTTGTTCCTCCTTGAGTTGGCTTGACCTTGTCTCTGGGCTCTCCTTCAGGGAAACAACCCACTATCCTTATCAGAAGGGAGTGGGCCCTATTTAGGGTGGGACAGACTATAGAGTCTGATTGCTCTACATGGCTGATAACCCTCAGGGAGATAACCTCTAAGCAGCTGATCCCCAAGTGTACAGCCATTGAATATGTGCATGTAGCGTCTTAGGTTTGGCATATATTTGGGGTGCAACATGGGGAAAAACCCTTCTGCATCCCACAGTGCCCGGCTATCAAACAGTGTCTAGGATCTTAAAGGCTTGTATTCAACAAGCAGCCATTTAAGTGAGGCTTCAACTAAGTCCATGTGGAAGAAGCACACCAGCTTGTGTGATCCGAAGATAATAACAAAATTCAAATATGACAAAGGGCAAAGTATCGGAGCTAAAATTATGAACACCCAATTGGTAGAAGGCTATGGAGGGCAGTGGGAGCATCAAACCCATCTGCAGAGGAACTAGTTAGATTAAGCCATTGGCAGACCCCCACTAGCCACAGGCAAGGGTCTCCTACAACCTTACTATCAGACAGAGATCACTGTAATCTTGGTTATACTGGGCCATATGTGATAGTTGGTCAGCTGATCTCCCTGTCAACCCAACCTGACTTTGTTCTAGGTGCAAGTATCTTTTTTTTTTTTTTTTAAACATTTTATTAGGGGCTCATACAAATGTTATCGCAATCCATACACACATCAATTGTGTAAAGTGCATTTGTACATCATTCTCAAAAAATTTTCTCTCCATTAAACCCCCAACATTAGGTCCTCATTTTTCCCCTCCCTCCCCGCTCCCCTCTCCCTCATGAGCCCTTGATAGTTTATAAACTGGTATTTTGTCATATCTTGCCCTGTCCGACGTCTCCCTTCATCTCTTGTGTGTTCCATGACAAAAAAAATTTTACCCTGGATTTTTAAATATTGAGGGTGGTATTTTCTTTCTTAGTCATTATTTGTATTTGTATTTTTATATTATTATTATTTTATCCTTACCACTTTGACTGTTTTTAATTGTTTCTCTTGGGTTTCCCAGTTTGTGAAGTACAGAAGTTGATGCAAAATGATAATAACTGATGCGAGGGTTCATAGGGCATGTAGGGGGTGGGAGTGGGAGATAGGGAGGGTGAGGGCATTTCAAGAGTAAACAGTGAAGGAGGGAGTGGGGAGGGAGCCCTAGAATTCATTGAGATTAAACAACTACTTTTGAGGACAATTTAAAAATGGGGGATGTTCTAAAATTGACTGTAGTAATGATTATACAATTCTTGATATGGTTGAACTATTGAATTGCATGATATGTGGACTGGGTGCCAATACAAATGTTAAAAAAAAGTGTCTTCTCTTCTACTTTAGTCATTTACTCCCAAGGTAATGTCCTTGGCAAAGTCAGCCTTCTTTTCCTGTCTGTGTAGTTTATATAGGTTCCTATGGCCTAACCTCAACTACCCTTCAGCCTCAGTATGCCCTTCAATCTCTTGATCTTACCAGTGTCATTCCCTTCTCCTCTTCTGACATGTATTCCCTCTTGAGTATACTGTCAATTAGTATAATCCAGAGTTAATTATCATAATCACGCTTTACTTACACCCTCACCTCACTTTCCCTTAATTCCTTGTATTCCTGAAAAACAAAACTCTGGTTAATTCCAATGTTCCTCTTATTTTTGGCCTGTACCTGTACAAGTGAACAAAGCCAAAGGAAAAAAAAACACACTCAGCCATGATAACTGGTCTCATTTTAGATTATGGATCATTAACTTGAAGTAGGTCCTTAGTGTGCCAGCAATCACAGTGTTTTTTTGGTTCATTTTCTACTACATTAAAGCCATAATTTCATTTTTTTTCTTTCTCCTCAAATATTAATACTTTCCCTCCCATCTTTACTTCCAGCTGATCAAATGTGAAAACTGAAGCAATCAGTTAACATTCACTATTCCTGCTGTCACATATATGCACCTGTCTACATCTGTGCTAGACTGTCTATCCTGTGTCACACTGAATAGATTATCTATCATTCTAGTATAGGTCAATCCCTCTACACATGCATTTGATTCCCTTTTCTCCAAAGACATGCTTTAGCAATTCTTTCTTGCAGTGTCAGGTTTTCTCATTCTACTAGATCATTTCTTTCAGCATATAAATATGATGCATTTGAATTATGGTGCTGGCAAAGAATATCAAATGTACTATCAGCTACTGAAAGAACAAACAAATCTGTCTTTGAAGAAGCAAGGATGATGAGACTTTGTCTCACGTACTTTGAAGAAGGACATCATGTGTGGTAAAGGAAAGGGGTATGGAAAAGGAGAAGGCCCTCAAAAGATGGACTGGCACAGTGGCTGCAACAATGGGTTGAAGTGTAGGCACAGATGTGAGGATGAGTGTTTTCTTCTGTTGTGCATAGGGCCGGTAGGGGGTGGAACGGACTCAATGGCAGGTAACAATGACATCTTAAACAAAAAGCTCCTCAAGACTCCATCTACTCCTACAGCTACTATTCATTCATTAATTTTTATAGAAACCTCCTGGAAAAAAAAGTTTATATTCATAGTTTGCTATCTCTTTTCTCTCTTGAAACTATAGTCTGGGTTTTTCCATTATCATCCCACTGAAAAGATTTTTATCATCAATCACCTCCATATTAACATCAATGGCTATTTCATTGTTCCCATCTTAATTGGCAGTATTTAACCTAGTTGTTCATTCCTTTCTCTTTGATTTTTAAAAAAATCTTGGGTTGTAGAGCTCTCCTGTCATCTGATTTTTTTTCCTGGTTATTTTCTCTGAGTCTCTTTTGCTAGTTCATGTCCAGCTACTTGTAGTTGCCACAGTTCTCATCCTTGAACCTCACTTCTTTTCCATCTATACTCATACCCTAAGTGTTCTCATCCATAGTCATGATTTAAACTCCATCCATATGATAATGACCTCCAAATATCTATATATCTATATCTATATCTATCTATATCTGATTGGCCCTCTCAACTCTAAACCCATATACCCACCTCTTTATTAGACATCTCTAACTCACACTTACCATGTCCCAAACTGAGCCTTGACTTCAATCTTCATCATTACTACTGAGTTATGGTCAATTAATTGTGACCTTTCTAGCCAAGGTTCCTTATATACTGTGTTTCCCCGAAAGTAAGACATCCCCCGAAAATAAGACCTACTTACAGTTTTGTCTCTCGCTGAAATATAAGGCATCCCCCCGAAAATAAGACCTCCCCGAAAATAAGGCCCCCCGAAGCTACCGTAACTCTGGACTCTGGACCATAGCTCACTGTTGGCCACAGTGAAGCCAGAGCAGACAGGAAGTACAAGAGGTCTCTTTTAATAAAACAATAAACAATAAATGTGTACCGTATTCTTCTTCATGGAAAAATAAGATATCCCCCGAAAACAAGACCTAGCGCATCTTTGGGAGCAAAAATTAATATAAGACACTGTTATTTTTGGGGAAACAGACTTTCTAAGTCTGTGGCTAGGGTCTTATTTTGGAGGACATTCTCTACTATGCTGATGAACAGGAGTGTAATGGGACTGAGATCTGACCTTGGTGGAAAGTGTGAGCTGAACCACACCCTCTGTTTCCTTGGGAGTGTCTTTGACTTAACCTTCGTAGAGGGTGTGACATCTTTTGTCACCTGGAAAGAAAGACCTCTATTTTCTGGCTGAGCCTTGGTAGAAGCAAGAAGACATTGTGACAGAACATGTCTTTTGTTTGCCAAGAGAATGGACCCTCTGCTTGCTGGAATGATTATTCTCTCTGTGCATTCTTCCTGCTAGGAAAATGAACCATGGACTCTAAGATAACATGGTTCTAACAACTATGGTAAATGTCTCAACTGTAAGTCAGGTTGAGTGGGTATCCTAAAACATCTTCCCCAGATTTATAGCACCAGAATTATCACCTGAGATAAATTGGAAAGAAAGGCTTAGATCCTAAAGATGAACTTGGTAACTAATTAGAAAGCAGTCTGACCATTGGTGGCATAAATCTCCACACCCTCCCCGCCCCTCTCAGCCCCACCAAAGTAGAAACCTTTAAAAACTAGAAGCCTTCCCCTAGACAGTGTCCTCTTATTCTCTCACCCAGGGTGACTGGCTTTGCTCTTGAGGTAAGGAGTGTCTTAATCTATGCTTGAAGTGTCCTTCTCACCTCCGGAGGAGGACCTGCTTCATCTCTTTTGAAGTGACTCTATGTTGAAATAAAATTTGGATTAACTCTTGTGTGTATGTGTATGTGAGAGAGAGAGAGAGAGAGAGAGAGAGAGAGAGAGAGAGAATGTGTGCGTGGCTATCCCTAGCTCCTTACAAACCATATGGGTATGGAGCTTTCCAGTTCCTCCCTAAATAACTTGGTGCAGAAAAGTTGGACCTGGCATTTCCCTTCAGGACTGAAGGTCACAACCTACTGTGGCTTTTGGATGAGAAGCAGAGCAGAATAGCATGTGGAAGAGTTGGATCTTTGGGATATAATTAACTCCTTGGGGCTAGTATTGCATTATTTCTTACAAAAGAAATTGTTACTATAATCTCTATCACCCCACCTTCACCATATCCACCAAACTCACTTGTCTCTTCCAGTTTTGCTAATGTCACCTCTTCTAATGGTTTAGGCCAGAAAACTTCAAAATACATCCAGAATCTGAGCAACTGTCACTACTTTCATTGCCACCACCCTGGTACAAACCATAATCTTCTCTCTTGGATTGTTTTCTTGTGCATAAATCTCTGTGCTACTTCTGGTCAGGACACACTATGAATTATATATGGACCCTAAAATGATTACAATATAATAAAATAATATGTATATTAGTATCATTACAAAATTGCATTTGCCTCAGAAGGAGCACATAATACAAAAGAGAATTATGGTAAAGATTACTTGAGGCTAGAGAAGAGAGCAGAGAAATCATGAAGGTGATGATCAAGTTAAACCTTGAGTGATAGGTCAATTTTGAAAGAAATGTGAGCATAGTATGTATGAGATATGCCTGTGCATGTCTGGTGTATGTGGAGATAAAAGTGGGTAGAAGTATTGAGGCTGGGTAGAAAATACATCCTGAACAAAGAGCATTTGGAACAATTAAGATAGAAAAGCAGGTGGTATGTAGAGAAAATCCCAAAAGATTCATTTAGATGCATGAAAGAACACCAAGTTAAGCTTTGAAACAGTAAAACAACCATTAAAGTTCTTGTATGCCAGGCTAAGGCTTTGGACTTTATTATATACACAAAAGGGTACCTTTGAAGGTTAGAGCAGAAAAGAAAAGTGATAAAAACTAAGCTTCAGAAAGATTTAGCTACAAACGGGACAGCTTAGAAGTAAGAAGATCATTAGTTAAGATGCTGTAGGAATAGCCCAGGTGTAAACTAATCAAGGCCTAAGACACTGTGATAAATGTGGAGATAAAACAAATTAAGATAGAGTGGATATAGAGGTGACGGGATTGGTAACTGATAATGACGATGCCATTTAAAATTTAACTTTCAAAGACATTCTACCTATATTATTATCTGACATGTATCTCGTTAGATGCTTAATAGTCATATTTTACCAACCAGAAAGCTTAAGCGCAAAGTAGTCAATTTGTCTGCCTAAATTTATCCAGTAATTTTCAGGTTGTGTGTTCTTGAACATGTTTTTAAATCTGTGTGTTTCCTTATCTATACATTGAGGTTACATTGAATCGGGGTGATAATTAGACTTTATTTCTATAAACCTGACTTGAATGGTTCAAACCTTGTCACTTGATCCTGACTCTGACACTTTGTACTCATCTAGTTTTCAGTATTTTCAGTGTTGTTTTTTTTTCCATATTGAGGCTTATCTCTGATGTATTTTGTCATTGTGGGTGGATTCCTTGAATCTTTGTTATGTGTTTTTCTGGGTTTCTTTGTATATGAAACCAAGGAATGATGAACCTATAGAGACAAGTAGATTAAGGGTTCTTGGAGAGTACAGTAGGGGATGGGGGAAAGGAGAACTGATATCAAGGAGTTCAAAAAGAAAGAAAATGTTTTAAAACTGATGGTGGTAGTAACTGGACAATATCATTTGATGTGATGGAATGGTATGATATCTGTATTAGCTCCCAGGAAAATGGCTTTGAAAAAATAAAAGTCTTTATTTCTAAAGTAAAATATGGAGTTAATTTTTAGAGATGCTCACTTTTAGCCACTAGAGTGTCTAACCTTGTGGAGCTGTACGGCGGCAGCTGAAATGCAGATGTAAATGCTCCCTTTAAGGTTTACAATCTCTGAGACCCTATAGAGCAGTTCTCTCTGTTCTATAAGGTGCTGTGAGTTGGAATCAACTCCATGGCAGCAGGTTTGCTTTTTGGCAACTAATACACCAGGGAGAAACATGTCTTATGGAAAAAAGTAATAACAAGGTTGGAGGATTGGAAATGGGGAGAGAGAAAAGTATTATTATTTTATGTAGGATAGTCAGAGAATTGATAAAGTGGCAATTGAAGGAAATGAGTAAGTCACAGATTATCTGGGGGCCTGATATTCCAAATAGAATAGCAAAGAAAAAATCCTGAATGGGAGTGTAGTATGATGAAAAAAGAACACAGAGGAAGAGTCCAAATTCAGATCCTGTGGGGTCTTGAAAGATGTGGACTTTTACTCTGCACGAAAAGGGAAAACCTACAGGACAGTTTTGAGACAACACACACTGCCTTCTACTATGTTGAAAGTGTTGGTAGAACTGATATAATTTGCTGATGGCGTGGGATATAAAGAACAATCAAGTTTTTGTGTTTCTGTTTTTACCTAATTGTAAGATCCGAATTTGCTATGACTCCCGTAAAGAGACCCACAGGAGCAGCTCTACCCTGTCCTATAGAGTTGCTATGAACAGGAATCCACTTGATGATAGTGAGTTTGGTTTTGGTTTGATGATGGCAACAAGTATACAGTAGGTTGGAGACAAACTTTTTTTTTTGCACAAACTTTTTTTTCTTTTTTAACATTTTATTAGGGGCTCATACAACTGTTATCCCAATCCATACACACATCAATTG